TCCATTGCAGATCTTCCCGCTTGCCGGCTGGCTACCGTCTTCCAGACAGACTGCTAGACCAACTACCTTCACCCGTCTGCGAAAATGCGTCGCTTCCTGCTTTCAAATCTTTTGATTATTGACGATGTGTAACTGATGGTCTGAGCTATTTGCAATGCACACTACTTTACAATTTATAAGTGACTTAAATGGGATAAAATAGTATGGCTGGCAAATATATACAGATGTTTCCAAAATGCTTCGCTTTATCGGTTGTTTCCATCATACTGTACTGAAAAGTACACGTTGGGAGCGCTGGGTTGGGTTCACACACATCATGCAACACACACAAGCGTAGTCCGTGGAGGAACCACACATCGTGCTCTGGGAGATGACAGAGCCATTGGTGTATACACGAACAGGGCATTAATCGTCAAACGTCATCTCATGGTCTGTCCAACTATGTCCGATCCTTTGACTCGGACCGCTGTGGTAGCGCTACGATCCTTTGACTCGGACCGCCGTCGTAGCGTTCCTATCCCTTGACTCGGTCCGCTGTGGTGGCATGCAGTGTTTCATGCTCAGGAAATGCTGTCCGTTCTCAGACCGGTCGCACATTTGCGGACCGGAACAACAGGAATTCCACTAACAGACTCCTTCTTTTATTTCAGATCTTGTTCTGCACTTTGAACACACATAAGGTGGACATGGACCATCTGCTGGGAGCCCAGATTGGCTTAGACGATTTTATCTTCGTTCACAGAAAAGGTGCGTTCTGGTGTATGATGTACGCGTGCGTAACGTACAATGCTATTCCACAGAGCTCTATACAGTTATGTGCTATCTTCACATGGGAAGTAAACAATGCAGACCGATAATCAGGACAAGGTCATTCAAAATTTGGCATCAGTAGTTTTTCCTTGATTAGTATCACCTCATGACATTAGCCGGTCTTCGACTATAATATCTTGTTATACTAAAAGCCGTGATATTTAGGTAAGCTGAAATTTTGACGTGAATGATTTCGCGCGCGTTGTAGGCTAGCTGGCAAGCATTACAATGAAGGCATGCACCAGCGGAGCCCGCCCGTCACCAAGGTGAAACGTGACGAAGTCCTGGCGAACAATCGCCACACCATGACAGTCTCCACGCTATGACAATCGCCACTCCATGACAATCGCCACGCCATGACAATCGCCACGCCATGACAATCGCCACGCCATAACAATCGCCAAGCCATCACCGTACACACTATCGCATTTTACGGACTAATGTCAAATTCTCTTTCAACGAGCAAGTTAAATAGTGTTTTACCAAGCGAGCGGCGCGTAGGTCACGGTCGTGTGTGGACTTGACCTGGCAGCTTTCAAGGCTTTACCATTGCGCTGCGCACACTTTGCCTGCAGGTCAGGCGAAGGAGATCGAGATTGAGAAGACGGAGGAGGCTCTCGGGCTGACAATAACTGACAACGGCGCCGGCTGCGCCTTCATCAAGCGGATCCAGGAAGGCAGCGTGGCTGATCAGATAGGATACGTGAAGGTAGGGGCAGCACCACGCACTTTACCGCTCAACCTCACCACTGGCGATCACGTGCCGCTAGCGTGGAGCTCTTGTCATCTTAACATAGCACGGGCCAGCGCTCTTCTAAATAGCCTATGCTCTTCTAAATAGCCTTCTAAATAGCCTAAATAGCTCTTCTAAATAGCCTATGAGCACACGAGCCACGACAGGCAAAGACGTGGCGACGTGTTTCGTTCATAGACTGATTCGACCAAACATTTATAGCAGAACTGGTCCACGTCGATGCTTATGCGACAAACTTTATAGGCGCATATGTAGCAACGAACTCTATGGAACTAGGCTCTGCGCTTACGGTCGGTATCGTACGGGCTTTCCCCGCGCCGGCTCTGTGAAAGTATATGCATGCATACATAAGCTGCCATGGCGTCATGTTGCTGGCATGCGGAGGTGGGCGCTGTGACTCACGTTTAGCATCAGTCACAGGTGTGAGAGATGGGAGAGATGAGCCCCCCCCCCAATTTAGGGGGGTTTCTCGTAGTCCGTAGGTGACGGCTTTTCTAGTCGGTACATCAGAGATAAATGGAATGGATGTGTCGGAAAGCCTGAACAATGTTGACAGTATTAAAGGTATTGCGTCGTCTTGCCTTTAACGCGACGTCAAACCCCAATAACACCACGAGCTCTTGATCTGGTAAAGGTGGGAAAATTGGCTGCTGATTTATATGCATTGGGCACGGATATATGTCAATATGTAAGAATGTGCGCATGCTTTGTCTGTGACAAATACTCCCAAGCATGGCAATCACCTGACCGATTTAGCTCTATGATTCGTACAAATGCAAATGATGTAAACCTGATCGTTGGTCGAACAATAAGTACAAGTTGCCTTGACTGAGACTGTAGCTTTGAGCTCCAGGAAAGCTTGAAAGGTACTAAGTATTTGCTGTATTGTATTTGTATTATTTGATGGTATTTGTATTTGCATGTATGGAAATATTTACTGATGATGAGTGTTTTTGTGCTCAACTCTACCCACATTTCTTCAAAATAAGAGGCAAAACTCCTTTCTGAGATCACGCATTGTCAGAACTCAGAATGAAGCGGGTGCATCTGTGTTTGTACCATACTCATGCAAGTGTCAGCGATATCTCCGGCATACCAGTGAGACAAGAATGCTGTGCGACTGCACAGAGTGGTGCAGGCTGTGATAACTGCGAACACGTGGCTGATAGCGCCGGCGGAGCATTTCCGCTGCATGACAATTGAGCTTTATCGTTATCAGCCAGGGACAGGGCCTGGATGGTGCGAAGTCTTGTGAAGTCCTGATGGGCCTCAACCCCGCGAAGCTTTCGTATGCCGGAGAGAACGCGAAGCTCAACGTTCGACTCACGACCTTAGAAAATTCACAGGCCGGCCGATCAGCCCCTCTCCATCGCGTTTGAGATGTGCATGTTTGCCAGATACTACTGTGGAGTCCGATAAACGCGAACTGTGCACTGATCAGGTCACGTTCCGCCCGCAATTCTTATTTCGGGTCAGGATGTCCCTGCAGAAAAAGCGGGGTTGGAGAAGGATTTGAACGACTCCCACCTCCACTTGGAATGCAGTAAGGGTGCCATTAGTGGCGGAAGGGACGACCGACCGGAGAGGGGGCTCGGCATGAGGACCGGTAGAGAGATCGGGAGAGGACCATTGGGAAGTCATCCGTGGGATGCCCAGCAGATAGAGATCAAAAAGAGGTTCAGCTTGATGACGTCAGGGTGTTGACCAGCAGGGATGGATTGGAAAAACGGCCAGTGGCAGGGCATCCGGAGAGGGACATCAGGGGGAGGTCGGTTGAGGACCAGAAGGGAGACATCGGCATGAGGACCAGCAAGGAGGGATCGGAATGGGGACCAGCAGGGAGGGATCGGAATGAGGACCAGCGTGGAGGAACAAGAATGGCGACCAGCAGGGAGGGATCGGAATGAGGACCAGCAGGGAGGGATCGAGATGAGGACCACAGCGGCGCGGCGTGAAGGAGCCCCCCAGTCACCCGCTCCGTCCCGGTGGAGGTCGACTGATGCCGTCCCGATAAGATAGGACGACGTCGTCCGATCGGCCGGCTCCGATAGCGGCATTGAACCGCGCTGCAGAGGTGACGCCAGCCACATCCGGGACATGCAGCTCTGAGTAGTTCACTTGTCCGGTTCGTGGGACCGGAACGCGGACAGCTGAGTTGGGACCCTCCCTATTGAAGAGCTCGCATTGGGCTCCCCAAGCTCTGATAGCTCCTGCTCATGACACTGGGTGGCCAAGCGTCCGTTTACGCACGTGTGTGTTGATCGACGGACGCGACGTCACCTGACGCAAGCCCTGTTTCTGACATCTTCCCCGTACCCCGGTTGGCCGGAGCACTTTGCGTCTGACGCTTGTGTCGTAGACCGTATGGGTTTGGGATTTCGAAAGAACGTTCGAATGTCTGGCTTGCTGAAGACGGACAAATGGCAGCTGGGATTGCGCGTTACAGTGTTACACCTTTCGGACAACATTGCTCGTTCAGCCGGAGTTCCTGCGCTGGGATGGTAAAGCCAGGGTTTTCGCAACGAATCATGCTGAGCAAAGGCTCTGCCTTCAAAATCATCCCTGCAAACGTTCAGTCAAGTTTCTTAGAAATGTCTCTGCGACTGCCACTGACCTCGGCGCGCTCCCTCAGGTGGGGGACCAGGTGGAGCGCATTGACGGCACCAGTCTGGTCGACTGTCGGCACTACCAGGTGGCCAAGATGCTCAAGGATATCCCGGTTGGGACCACCTTCTTGCTGCGGGTGGTGGAGCCCATGAGCACAGGGTTCGGTGGGTAACTGATGTGATTGTTCAGGGTTGGAGCTCTCATGTGCCAGAGGCGGGGAAGAAGAACGTGGCTACAACGACCCCGGTTCCTTGCTGGCGTACATTCCGTTTGCCCGCCGCCTGCGCGGTTTCTTCTCGCCATGACAAACACGTCTCCGGCCCGTTTGCCGCCCGCATCAGTGGAAGACCTTTCGAGTGTGGCGGCGCCAGCTGCCAGCCGTGACATCACGGGCGGAGGTCCCGCCGTGGCCGGCGCCGCGGTCGTGTTGGTCGCACAGAGCGCCTCGGCCGTCGCGCTGCCGCTGACGTCCGTCGGACCATCCATTTCAGCCAACATCGGGCCACGTTCGGGGCCGAAAACCGGCAAGGCGACCGGCTACGGCTCCGGCAAGGCGACCCTCCGACTCAGAGCCAACGGTCCAGCCAGGATCGAGCAGGCGGTCAGTGGCACCAGTCGAGCTCCTCTGTGCATGCTGGTGACTTTTATGAGAGGGGGTTTTCACACTGGTGTTGGAGTGATAGCTGCCTAAAGGTTTACTGTACTGTGACACGCTGTCATGGGATCGATACTTCTTGCTCGTCATAGGGACTCACCGCTGGCCCGATAGCCTGTGCTTACCTTTTCACCCGCGTTCGTTTTTTCAGCCAACGAACGTGGTTCAGAGTGGTGTGAACAAAATCAACAGCCTGCTGGAAGGATTCCTGGGCATAAACGATACAGAACTAGGTGAGTTGTTGTTGCCCTGAGAGAACGGGTTTCTTCCGTCCCGCAGTCACAATAGACATGTTTACCAAACGCATATTTGTGTTTCAAGCACTTGGTGGTACGGTACCCAAACACGATCCACCTCTGCGCGTCTTGCCCTGGACTGTCTCTGCTGTTCTGTCGCCTGCCGGACCGTGCGGCGAGACCAAAGCTCAACACCAGTGTCTGCTCACCGGCTGTACTGTACCGCCGCAGCTGGTCAGATTTGGGAGCTGAGCTCGGGCCAGGCCAACACGGTGGAGTTCGCGGCGGCGCTCGACTGCTCCGACCTGGAGGCGTTCGGCTTCACCGAAGACTTCGTCATCGAGTTGTGGGGCGCCATCACTGACATCAGGGCCGGCCGGCTGGACAAGTAGTTGGCGCGGCGCGGTCCGCGGCCGCCTCGTCACGGTGTCACGGAGCGGTCCCGCGGCCGCTCGTCACGGTGTCACGGAGCGGTCCCGCGGCCGCCTCGTCACGTCATCACGGTCGCCTCGCCCAACCGGCGGCGAAAAATAACGGGAGTTGTGCCGCGGCCTCGCGGAACGAGACACTGCCGGACGTGAGTTGTGCCTCTACTGCAGGGAGGCGTGACAATCGCAGGAGTCGTGCCGCTGCTGCAGGGAGATGAGACACTCACGAGAGTTGTGCCGCTGCTGTAGGAGGTGGGGCACTCGCGGGAATCGTGCCGCTGCTGCAGGGAGAAGAGACACTCACAAGAGTTGTGCCGCTGCTGCAGGAGGTGGAGCAATCGCGGGAATCATGCCGCTGCTGGAGCGAGGTGGGAAACTGGCGGGAGGGCTCATCACTACGGGAAGGAAGCGCCAGGATTTCGGAGGATGGCACATTACGAACGGCACACAGAGTGACTGCTGACAGCGCATGTAGCCGCGTGCGGCATGTACAATGCCGTGTCTTTGGGAGCCCGTAATGACATAGCATTCACCTGAAACCACGACAGAGACCGGGACGCCGGACTGCCGTTGGAAAAGTTACCAGACGTGGGCTCGAATCGTCTACGTGCTCTGAGACTTCCGCGCTTGGTGTGCGGCTCGAAACACCGTTCCGTGGCCCCGATATACTACTCCGAACAAACCCTGGTGATGCACCATCGCCATGGTGCCTGGCGCCGGCGGCAGTGCCATCTGGTGCCACAATGTGAGTTAGCCCGAAGGCGTCACGCGGCCGCGGTGGCTTCCCAAGCTGGGCTTGTTTTGCTGGAATGATACTACGGAGCCAATGTGACAGAATCGTGCAGCGTGGATGACATCTTGTGATTCGATTTTAAACTGGAGAGCTGAATAAACGTATGGGATGATTGTAAGAAACGTGTGCTTCGATATTCCTTTTCATTTACCACCTTAGACGCGTTTGTCAAGTCCGTGTCGCCACCATGTGGTGATGGGGAAGTGCGTACAACTGTTGTCGCGTTTAGTTCTGAGGGATTGCAAACCGGTTCAAACGAAGATGCCCGCCGAAATTGGGAGCAGTTCCTGAAATTCTGAGTGTCATCGGGTTTTTTTCGTGCAAACGAAGCATTGCAACGCAAATTAGATGAGCTATTTTCCAGACTGTCTTTGGACCAAAATTATTAGGATTGTGTCTGAGCTTTCTTGTTTGTCCCTGTGCAAATGTGTTTTCCATCCATGAGCACGTCTTCACGGAGGCGTTTTGTTGGGACGCGTAAACTCGAAACAGTGGAGATAAAGGTAATGAAATCATGTTATTATTTCCCTGAGATCATGAGCAGTGACATTAGGGTCATAACGTAAGTACATAAAATGCGCAAAAAGTTAAGAAATCAGTTATGAAAAGTTAAGGCAGGTAATAAATCGACAGTACCATAATGACCGCATACGAGTGGCTGATAGACCATTTCACACCTGCAATCCCAGTACGAGCACAGGTTGCGCACACGATTTTCATGGAGAAAGAACGATTGGGTTGATGTACACGTCGAATACATACTGAAAAATTTCAATAATGCAATGCAAAAACAGCCATTGAAGGTCACACACACTACGAAGAGCAATCGATCTGAACTCTGGACACAACGTCGATTACGAGCTTTCGACGTCCGACTGCGACCAGCTGCGTCACCACGGCCTTGCACCTGCGATGCCCGAAGCGGCCTGTCCATTCCCCAGCGGGCTCAGTCGGCCGGCCACCACGCTGCCCAGGAACGGCAGTCGTCACCTGCAGCAACAGAACGGTCTGAGGGTTCGCCACACATGCTGCGAATCAGGCTGGGCGCATGACTTTTACCTCGTTTTTTTCATAGGACAGCTCGTAAGGAAAGATAGCAAGGTAGGCATTTCCTTGCCAGTCTTTCATATTGCCGGTCTTGAGTCGTCACTTGTAAAATAAATCCCTAAACTCGAGAAGACTAGAGATGCGTTCAAATCTCGGGTGCCTCTCACCTGTCACGAAGCATATGGCTGCCTCTGGCTGGTTCTACTCTTCATCCCCTTCATTGAACACCTGATTCTCGCTGGCTTCCTCCACGTCTTCCAGCTGGGGCACGGCGACGGGCTCTGGCTCTGACTGCGGCTCTTCGCTCTCGATGTCCTCGTCCTCGAGCGGGTGCTCGTGCTCGTGCAGTGTCTCGTGCCGCGCATCCCTGGGGTGGCTGCGCGGGAACCGAGAGCGCCTGCGCGACCAGCCGGAGCGGTATGGCGAGCCGTAGTGGTACCCTGAGCTGTACGGGTACCCGGCGCCGGACCAGTATCTGGGCCCGTACGAGTACCGGTAGCCGTACGGGTACCCGTGTCCGTAGCTGTAGCCGGCGCCGTAGGTGGTGCGGTACCGGTACCGGCTGGGGTAGCCGTAGCCTCGGTACGCGAGGCCGACGTGGCGTCGCACCAGAGGGCTGCCCCCGGCCGTGGCGAGCACGGCCAGCGGCAGCAGCATCAGCAAACAGCAGCGCAGCAGAGACATCTGACGAAGGGCACAAGAACTGCTCACTCTTCGGGCTATGGCGGCACGGAGCAGGCAGACGACGCCGCGGCATAGACCTCTCGGGCATCGGAGTCAGGGTCACTTTAGTCAGTCAGTCAGTCACAGTCCGTCAGTCAGTCAGTCACCTCATGTATTTTCTGGGAAGGTCTGAGTTCTCTCCCCCATACTCCTCTGAGCCCCTCCCCCATATTCCTCCGAGCCCCCTCAATGCATATGAGCAAAGGGGGAATAGTGGGCCAAATACACACATACCAACTATATTAATTATTGGTATGCTTGGCAGCAGGTATCTTAACACCTCGCTTTTAGTGTCGCCGTAATTTTGTGCGAAATTGCATCATGTAGGTGCCTAAGGTTTTTGTCATGCTAAGTCACTCCGACGTGAATTAGCCAATCTGCCAATGTTTGACAATCTTTTCAAACGATTACGCATGGATTGAGGTAAAGACAAGTGACCACAACATGCAGCAGATTTTAAAAGCGCAGAGTAGCCAAGATAAATGTTGACACATATTTTCTCTAACAGTGGCAAGTGTTTGTGCCGCAAAATCGCAACATCATAATTTTTGATGGACATACAGCACGATCAGCGACAGCGGTACTCATCAGTGATTCCCCACTAATGTTTACAGACATATTCTGTGAGCTACATCGCATTCTAAGCTTTTCTTAAAAAAGGCAGCTCACGCTACTTTTAAATGGAAAGACATTCTTCCGCAAGCAAAAATTTTTGAAGCGACGCAGAACGACGCATGCCGCAGTTTTAACGGATCGGATCGACTTGAAGTCGATCGACGCAAATTCGAGCGACCGAAATCTGAGGAGAAGGCACGTTTTGGAGTTAGGTTAGGTTAACCCTTTCGGCTGACTCCACCTCAAACCGATTTTAGAGGGTAAAACCCCTGATCGGACTCCACAGCACACAGCCACACACTCGAAGCCAGATCGTGTTTCAACGCTAAGATGAATGGCTCTGCATGAGGCGATTCGTTGTCTGAGTCTAATAATAGATATTTGAGACTAAACCTCTCCGCTTCAAAAACTCTTCCCACGTCACAATGACATATGCCGAAGTGTTGATATGCACAAGTTGCAGAGTTTTAACCTGAAATCGACACAGCATACATTACAGGGGCCTAAATCTGATTGTAAGTGGCATGTAGTCATGGAGGCCAACGGCATGCAGGTGTTCGCATCACCAATGGTTAAACCGAAACATTTAAGATATGATAATGGCACATGCAAATTTCAATATCTCGTCATAACTTTCCTAAGAAGGCCGTCAAAGCCATGAAATATTAAGTTCAAACACATAGATAATGCATTGAGCACCAACACCTTTGATGCATATTCTGAAGCACGACTGTAGTCAGCAGCGTACTCTCAACGCACCGGCAGACTGCGGGCACTCAGCGTCAGCTCGCTGGTAAGCCTTTGCGCGGTGGAAAAAGCCATAACTGCCTAGCTAATCGGTCTTGACACATACGCTCGAAAACTTTGTCTACGGCTTCGTCACGTTCCGCGCGACATTCCGCAGTAATTCTGCATGAGTGCACCCTTTGCTGTGAGAGGCGCTGGATGTGATGACATTAGCGCTAGCCCGATGCTAAGTCACTCGATGCCCATGGCTGGCTCTGATCAGCACATAGCACATGAGACGCGAGGAGCGGCTTACCCACCTGGGACCTGGTCGAGCTCGGTCAGAGGAGTGAGGCCGACCTGTGTCCTCTCTGCCCCTCCTGCCCGGCGTCCCCCTCCATAGCCCCCGGCCATGGCAGCGGGGAGGCCCCCTCCAGTTAGCCTGGGGACGGCACTCCCCGTTAAGCCCCCTCTAACGGTTTTTCCACGCCTCGGGGCATGGGCCCGGGCGAAGGGGGAAAACAACAGCTTTAAATGCAAAAACGGCTTCCTACGCCGGCGTGACTCGCTCATGCCCTCCTGCGGTCTGACTCCGCATGCCGGTACATGTGGTGACGAAGGTCATCAGCGGCAGACCGTTCCTCCCTGCAGACGTCTTTACGCATTGCGCTGCTGGTGGAGCGTACGAAGGGAGGCCAAGTCTGTTGGCAGTGATGCATGGCGACTTTAGTTTGGGTTAACTGGAGGAGATCAGTCAGCCACAGTTCATAATCACTTCTTGTTTCATTATTTTTCAGCTTTTTGGCAGCAAGTGATGCGCGACCTAACCTCGTAGGATGTACACTCTCTCGAATATGATATTCAGGAACGGCGCTAACCATTTAGGAACAGCAATAAGTGTTTCAGACTGCCACTTCACCCATTCCATCAGAAAATTTTGCCTGTAACCATGGGCGTAGCAACGTTTGAAAAAGTGGAGGGCCAAGCTCAGGGCGACCTTCAGGAACTTTTATGGAAAGCAAGCCCGATGACCGAGGGGGAGAGGGTAGATATGGAGGGCGTTATCAGTTTTTATTCAAAAGTTATGCTGCTATGCATCTAGAGCTGTTTCTCACTGGTGCGCAATCTTACCTGTTCGACTCATCATTCGGCAAATAAGGCCATCCAGCCTCCAAAGTTCATTCGTCCATTTTAACATTGTCTTTCCTGGGGAGGCGAAATTTCACGGGCGTTGGACATTTTGGGTCATTGTGGAGGTATCTGCCTTCACAGGGTAGATGCCAAAATACGGACTGGACATAGGCTGGTGAGAGTTTTGAATGTGAGTCGATGGCTCACAGTTGCGACAGATTTTTCATGGGCCTTCGTTTTGCTGGCTGCTTTTCGAGAGATAAGGCTTGTCGCAGCATTTTGGGCGGAAGCAAATTCGGAAGCTTAAAACTGTCGAAAACACTGTGACAAAAACCATACAACTTGAGGTTCTCCTTTAACAACCAAGCCACAGAATATAGGCCTTTCTGTCACATATTCCTTATCTCAGCCCTGCTCCCGTGCGCCATCGACGGCCATTGCCCAGGCCCGGCTGTCCCCGCATGACTGATTGCGAACTGATCGTATGGCTGCTTTGTTGCATATTTATGGGTCAGCATTGCTACGGATTGGTATGTAAAACATGTTCGACACCTGCAACAGTATGTCTTTTCCGAATTATCTTCACTTACACCACAGCACTCCAGAAAAAGCCTCCGGGAAGTTGCCTGCATTATGTATGAATTGGCCCAACGGACATTTCACTGTCCATCATTCAACGTGGACGACTTAATCTGCTCCTGTGTATAGGCAGGGATGTGGCCAAAGCATTGTTAAGGGGAGCACAGGGTTGACAAAAGCCCCTCTTATGGTGCCCCTCCCCTTTAAAAACAAAGTCCCCGGATATAGCTTACTTGTTAACAAGGGATGCGGTTTTCTTCGTTTCATTGCTTTTGTTACCTTGCAACTAAAACAGAAACCAGAAGCTGCCGTAAGATTAATTCTGTTTGTATTTTTAAGTGAATAAACTGCAGAAATCAGGCGTTGAACGACCGCGTGCAATAAATCACCGGTGCCGTTATTTGCAATGATTTAGTAGGCTCTTTATAAACCGACAGGATTCAGAAGCTTTGTCAGAATGTTTTATCTGGGTTCTACAGACATTAAGGACATCACGAAGGTTGATTGTAGATCAATATGTTTGATCGAAATTTGAAGCTGAAAATTTGATTGTAGACCGAGTGGTCAACAATGTGTATTAACATGGTCAAGCCGTGTTTGGCTGGTAGTGTTTAACAATCAGTCAGAATCGATTAGTGATACAATTTATGTAACGATATTTTTTTACATGCGCGCTCGCAAATCTTAACAACAAAAACATCGACACCAGGCATGGGCCCTGCATGACCTGCAGCAGTCGACGTGCCCTAAAACCCCAAATCATCATCATCATCATTATCATCGACACCAGGCGTTGCATTCTCCATTATCCGCGTAGTGTCAGGCCGGCGGATAACTTTTCGCCGTTGCCCACGGCTGGACAAAAATGATCACGTTTTTAAACACTTACCTTTAGACACTTAGATCGATTAGTAATACAAGTTGTGTGACGTAATTTTGAGCATGTGCTTAAGTCTTAGTCACAAAACCCTATGTCAGACGTTGCAGTTTCAGTGGGCCAGGCAGCGTCGGCTCAGCAGCTAGTACTGAGCCGTGGCCAATGGGTGGACGAAAATGAAACAAGTACATTTGAGCGCTTCAGGGCATCAAATCTTACATTTAGAAGGCAGGCTAGGCGCATATTTCATGTGTGCGCTTTTTAGATCAATGATATGCGCTTCAGGGCATCATGAGCGCTTCAGGGCATCAAATCTTACATTTAGAAGGCAGGCTAGGCGCATATTTCATGTGTGCGCTTTTTAGATCAATGATAAGAACGGATTGGCCCTCAAAGCGCCGCTGAGTGGTGCTGGAATCTGGTGGTGGAGCTGGAAGACTAAGGGAAGAATATCTATTTTTCGTGTTTCTGTAACTATCCATCTGTCCAGAAGACATTTAACACGGCGCCCGCCGTCTGGTGGCATTTGCAGTGGTCGACGCCGTTCGGTTTTTCGGAAGCTGCAACTCGGGCCATCGCTGTTCTTGCTCTCGAGGCTGCGGGCGAGCATGTTCAAATCTTTTGATGTTATTTTTTCACCAATCCATTCTGAAAATGAACGTTCTCAAGCAAGCATGGGATGAACTTGTTCGTCTTTAAAAAAAAATTTCAATCCACTCTATTCAACAATAATGATAATTCTACCCACCAATAATGAGGCCTCTTTTTTCACGGGTGTAAATTTTGGTAAATTATGGGGGGAGGGGGGCCGAATCGAAGGCCCGACAAATTTTCCCTTTTTCTCACCAGATTTAGCCCACTCTATTTTGATTAAACGCGATATATGTTTCAAATATTTATATAACTTAAAAAGTTTTTAATTTAATCAGCATGGCAGTTACGCAGGGTTGGATCCAGGGAGTAGGCACTGGACGCACGCGTCTTTTCTGATCGGCACGTGAAGGCGCCCGTTTAGAATCCACCTTGGGGCGCCGATGGCGCTCTTCCATAATGGCCATAGGAGGCGGCACGCATTTTGGCTGTTGGGGACGGGGCGGGCTTAGCCATGAAGGACTTACTCCATGCCATATCCCAGGGCTTTTCACTTAAACCTTACGAACCATTGCGTGCCTTATGGCGCTAGGGTTGTAAAGTTTATTGCATTGTTTATCCGCTCAGCTGTTACGATTTCTATCTTGTGGTGAGAGCAACTATGACTTTTTGTTATGAGAGTGGTACGAGACGCCACTATGCAGATCAAAAAGGATAATCTTTGTGTTATGACAATCTTTTGCACACGTTTTTGTAGTATTCAGCCAAAAACATTGGGGGGGGGGGACAAACCAACATGGGGCAACTCAACATTGGGGGGAGGGGGCAGGACCCTCACAAAAGAATACAAATCGACACTCGTGCCTTTACACAAAAGAATACAGATCGACACCCGTGCCAAATCGACACCCACCAGGGACACATTACGGGTTCCGGTCAAGGGCTGAAGGGCCATGCCGTCCCATCGCGAAGTATCTCCTGGCTGTCATTCTGGCGACATGGGGCGGGATCTCCTGGTCGATCCGGAGGCCATTAGAAGAATATATCATATCCACACTGTTCCCCTCCCAGACACGGGTGGCCTCCTGACCCGCACAGTTGGCCCCGGATCAGCATAGGAACTCTCAATGGTGCAATAACATGCCTGATCGGCACGGGTCGTCCAATAATTGTCACATACTACACTTTCTCATACTCATACAGACTACAGTTCCATGTTTTTCTGTATTCTTCAGAGACATTGAGGACTCCCTGAACGTACATTGTAGATGAAATGGATCCCAAATTTGTATTTACATGGCTAATCCATGTTTATCTAAACAAATTTAATATTCAGTCAGAATTGATTACTGGGAAACAACTATATCATATGGTTTTGAGCATGCGCGCTCGCAAGTCTTGGCAACGACTGCCTCGACGCCCGGCGTTGCAGTCTCCATAGGCCGCGCGACGTCGGCCTGTGGCTGTGACAGAAGGCGATGGCCAGTAAGCAAACGGAAAAGAAGACGCATCTTGAGGAAGATGGCTGGTGAACTAGGCAAATCGGCATGTATGTTTAATGTGGTGCAAAAGTGAGCTAAGCGCAACCTTAATGTGAGAATTGTGGGGAGGGGAGTTAGTACTGCTGCCCTCCCCCCCGCCTCGAAGAGTGCGGGGCCATGGCCCCCTGCCCCCCCCCCCCTGTATATCCATGCCTGGAACCCTCTGGGGAGCCATTTACACGTTATCAAATGCTTGGGGAGGGTCATACCGCACAACCGTGTGTTCTTTCACCTCCTGCCAATTCGCATCTGCCAGACCAATTACCACCCAGCTGCCTCAAGAATCCAACTCCAGGTAACTACTACATACTAGAGTGGGGAGAGCGTAATTGCACGTATACGGGAAACGTACTCCCCAATGATGGACCACCAAATCACAACCTTGCAACGAGTGAAAGCCCCATGTTCGAAGCCAGAGAAGTTGTGTTATTAGTTTTGTCCTATGACGTGAAAGCTGAATTAACAGTCGTCATTGGGACCTTACGAGGCACTCTGCTGCTGAGGCTGTGTGGTGTCGGCTGGCAGGAAGGCTGGTCTCTGCGGGGAATTCACACACACACACACACACACATACACGCACACACACACACACACACACACACACACACACACACAC